TTCGGCCTTTCACCGCTCTCTGTAGCATGGGCGACGGGTTGCCCCGACCGGTGTCGGCTTTCCGGGCTCCTGCCGTCGTCGACATGCAAGGAAGCATTGCTAGATGTACCCAGTGGCTGTAGGCAGTTTTCTCCACATTTCATCCCTTGCCCGATTCCCGAAATGCGCCACATGGCATAAGAAGATGTAGGAAGGATGAGCTGCCGGCAGCGATGGTGGCAACAAGCCGCTTCAACTTGTTGCACCCCGCATTTGCCCGCGCGCTTGTCGGCACGCATGTCAAGAATTCGCTTATGCATTACTTATGCTTGTATGTGAGGGCACCGCCCAAGCTGTGTGCAGGGAGTTGAGCGCTGAGGTTTCGGAAATAAAGTAACAACCACGCCACGACAACCCTCTCTTTGGCAACATTCTTATGTTCTGTTGCGCCAACGACGCTGGCAATACGGTGAGACGGTTCCAGCTGTGAGAAGTGCCGTGCAGAATGTCACATCCAGCGCTCTGCTCCGCTTGTGACGAGCCCTGTCTGATCTTTGGAAAGCGCTGCTTGCAACTAGGACTTGTCACGAGATGCTGACAGTTTTGCTTGCTCACATATGCAGGAGCATTGTAGCATAATGCAGCTTGGTGGCTGTCGTGCTGTCGTGTAGTGCGCCATGTGCAACTGAACTCGTGAACAAGTCTGATGTTCCGTGGCGCGTCCTTGCCTTTTGCCAAACGTGCTTGTATAGACTGACAACGCATGGATGCTCCGATGCAGAAGAGATGGTGAGACTAGCCCAGAATGTCGTCAGCAGCATCTCCTGTCGGAGCCCAGCAATTGCGCACTTTGGGACCCAGGACCAAGCTAATTAGCAGTGATTCTTAATTTCCCGCGTGTGACTCAGTCTTTCTTCCAGGAGGATGCAATGAATCCCTTCCTTGCGCGCTACAGCTCCGCAACCGCAAGCTCTGTTGTGCGATTCTGCATTCTGGCACGGCCTCTGCTCTCAAGCATGCAAGTCTTGCTCAGGAGTTGAAGGTCTATGCCGGGGCCTTAAGGCCTTAAGGGATCACACCTTACATTCCGCTCAGTCATGTGGGTGAATCAGATCGCGCAGGTAAGCTTGATGCGCAGTCGAGCATGAAGGTAGGCTTGTTGCGTCTTCTTCTAAGGTTCTGCTCAGCTTCGCTACGTCCATGGCAGCAGGAGATGCGTCAGGCTCAGAGCCGCCATGCTGAAGTGGTACACAGTCGCTGCCATTCGCTGCCTACATCCTGGCCCAATGTGCCTGCATCCACATCTAACACCGAATGGAGGGCTCGGTGCGGCTCAGTTTCGTTTGTGAGCGCAATCTTCCGCACCAAGACTTGGACAAGGGCTTGCAACAAGTTTTTAGGGAACGGCCGAAAGCTCGGGGGGGATCGAAGTTGTCTTCAACGTCCAATTTCCCTCCTGCCCGAAGCTTTTGCAAAATCCAAGCTCGACTGACGCTTTTCTTCACTTCGTGTCATTCGTCAACAGGTGACGGCGGGTTGCGAAGCTTGCCGATTCTTTCAATTTCCTTATCCATCTAAACTTGTCTTGACGAATCTAAATCCCGTCCCTCTGTCCGAAGACTTCAAGCGCCTCCAACAAAGAAGCGCAGATGAAAGCAGTTGAGGCTTCGGCCAACAAACGCAACGAACCTGCGGTGGGTATGTCCTTTCGATCCATCTGTCGCCGCCCAGACCCGGAAAGCCAGAGCTTGCACTGTTTAGGCTACGGTACATGCTGTGAGCGTCACCCAACTTGATTGTCGAAAATTCGGCTCTTTGCAGCTGAAGCCACTTTGGCAAACTTGCAGCACGAAGGAGATGTTTCCCTCGAAAGCCAGGGGTAGATCCCTGTCCTCACCACTGGTGGTTTCTCAGCTGACTGATTGTACTGTCCCTTCTACGCGAGCGCGCGGGGTTACAGTTGAAGCGCTGCCGACGTTACCCATCATCTGTCACATCTTTTGCCATCCCAAACACTTGCTCTATCTGCTGTGGTGATGGTGGGGACTTTGAGAAGCATTGCTGCGCGGCAGGGATCTTATATAGATACCCAGAAGATCCCACACAAATCTGGACATGTTTGGACCGAGCTTGGCGCTCAGTAAATCATTCTTGCACAAGATTGCACAAGCTTCGCTTGAACTTAGACTAGCAAGCTGCTTTTCTGGGCGTGCGGTGGGTCCCCTTCCTGGCGCGTCTCCCTTCAAGGACCCCAACAACGGCACCAAGGCACGCGGTGGTAGGCCCACCGATGAGCACCTTGCTAGGGCTGCTCGGGCCCCAGGTTATGCACGACAGGGTGAGCCAACCTCTTTGTGGCAGCGCTTGCTCATGCTTACCGCAGTGGTATCCGCACAGGGCGCGGCCAACTTCTTTATGGCGGCGTTCGCTGACTGCGGTGTTGTATGGTGTTGTCCTCACTGTTCGCGGTCGACGTCTTTGTGGCGACGCTTGCTCACCGCCGTGGTGTCCCCACAGTTCGTGGCCAACTTCTTTGTGTTGGCGCTTGCTCACTGTGGTGATCCCCACGGTTCGCAATAGCTTCTCTGTGGATGCCGCGTGTCCAGTGACGTCCCTGCGGTATACCCTTCTTTTTTCTGTAGGCGCAACGGGGCTGAGCATCGCCCACTTCTGGGATGAGATGCACTTTCGTGCCATCGTTCGTGCTCGTATGTTGCTGTTTGTGTTGTTGTGTTGCGTTTTTGTGGCTTTGCGGGAACCTTGAGCCTTCGGGCCGCTGGTAAGGTTTGCCAGGCCGGGCTCGTGCCCTGGTCAATCTGTCACCTCACCTCGCCTTGGCAGCTGCAGCTTGCCTGGGCACCATGTTCCATGGGCCCAAACATGGTACAGAACTTACAGAACTCCGGAGAAAGTTTTACGTGGAGACAGTCCCCAGGTCAGCTCACCGCCATTGGAAGAAAAGGAACTTCGTTCTGCTCTGTTGGAAGCTGAGAGTTCGGGTCCTCGAATTCGGAAATTAGCTGATGTTCAAAGAGCTGGATTGAGGTCCCCATGGCTGAACTACACGCGAAAGGATTGGGCAATGCAGCACATGGCCGTTCCGCACGTTTGGGAGGCGACGGTCCGCCCATGCGACATCTAATCCGTGGTATGCCGTGCACCTCATCGATTTCGTTGCGCAATATCAGCAGGAGTAGTAGTAGTGGTAGTGGTAGTGGTGGTGGTGGTGGTGGTGGTTGTGGTGGTGGTAGTAGTGATGCCAACAGTTATTTGCCAGAAAAGTAACATCGTAGCATACATAGTGTTAGACGCACTCATGGC